CAGCAGCAGCAGCAGCAGCAACAGCAGCAACAGCAGCAACAGCAGCAGCAGCAGCAGCACGCCGGCTAGCAGCTGCAGCACGGAAAGGGGCCCCTGTGTGATTGTGTCTCTGGGCAGCATGCTTTGCTGCTTCCTGCAGCTGCTGCCTTGCTGCTGCTGCTGCTTGTCGCTGCTGGGCCTCACTGGACGGCTGCTGCGGCGCAGGTAATTCTTTTTTATTCTTTTTAAATCTTTTAATTCTTTTTAATTCTTTTTAATTCTTTTCAATCTTTTTATTCTTTTTAATTCCTTTTAATTCTTTTTTGCTTCTTTTTAGTTCTTTTTTGCTTCTTTTTTGCTTCTTTTTGATATTTTTTGTCTTTTCTTTCCCATTTTAAATTTCTCTCTTTTTGTTTTGTGTCTTCAGAGTGCTGCTAATTGCTGCCTCTGCTGCTTACTGCCCCTGCGGCTACTTCGAAAGGGGCCCCCCAGGGGGGCCCCCAGGGGGTCCCCCGGGGGGCCCCCCCACGAGGGGACCCCCAGAGGGGCCCCCAGAGGGGCCCCCAGAGGGGCCCCCAGAGGGGGCCCCCCGGGAGACTGTTGAGGGTTTGGGGGCCCTTAACCAAGAGGTGCAAAGGGAAACCCAAGTGCTGCTGCTGCTGTCGCCAGTCGATCTCCCGGCACTGCTGCAGCAACTGCAGCAGCAGCAGCAGCAACAGCGGCAAGAGCAACAGGCTGCAGCAACAGCAGGGGGCGCAGCATCAGGGACGAGCGTTGCTGCAGCAGCGCCCGCAGCAGAAACTGCGGCAGCAGGTACATCAGCAGCAGCAGCAGCAGCAGCAAAAGCAGCAGCAGCAGCAGCAGCAACGAACAAGGGCCCACCCTCTGTTTGCATAGTATCCCACGGCAGCGCTGGCTCAGGTAAGGCCCCCAAGATGTCTTAATTTAACGTTGCAGCAGCAGTACCAGCTGTTGCTGCTGCTGCTCGTGCTGCTGTGTCTTGTGCTGCTGCTGCTGCTGCTTCCTGACTATAGATGCTGCAGTAACAACGCTAGCAGCGTACAGACTGTGCCACGCTGCACTTTGCTGCTGCTGCTGCTGCTGCTGTGCAGCTGCGACGTTCTCGGCTAGCAAGGGCGTGGCCCATTTGCTGCTGCCGCTGCTGTTCGATCAGCAGCAAGTGACACAATGCATGCAGCAGGCAGGTTTGGGGCTTGCAGCTTCTGAGCTGCTGCTGGACGCGCTGGCTGCTGTCACGGCCCAAGAGGCGGCGGTGCAGCGGCGCCAGACGCAGCAGCACCAGCTTCTGCAGCAGCAGCTGCAGCAGCAGCAGCTGCAGCAGCAGCAGCTGCAGCAGCAGCAGCT